GGATTACTTTTTGGGGGAAGTAATCAGTAATTAGTTACTGATTACTTTTTTCAAGTAACTTGACCAACACTGCTAAAGACAGAATCGTGTGAAACGATCTGTAGTGTTGGGACACTGAGACACAATTCACCATTTATGATAATATCTTTAGCAGTAAGGTCAGAGTGGAAACAGGATGGATATGCTTGTGAATGAACCCTTTAGCCTCGAATCAAAGAGATCATCTGCTCTAAGCTAAGTCATAAGAGAATTGTGATTTAGAAAATGTTATCAAAATGTTACCGAATGTTATCATTTGACTATTTGGCCAGATCATCCATTTCTACACTTACATATGCCAGTGTTTTGAGTTTATTTTTGGATTTTCTGCAATCCACACAAGCTCAGATATATGCATAAACTGACTGAAATATTTTAATAGGGGGGTGCTGATGGTTCTACAGTGTCAAGTTAAAAGACAGTGCCAAAGGCTTTTAAATTAGTGATTGGCTACAACTGGTAGTTTCTCTATGTCAGCATAACAATGATTTGTTTGACAGCACTCATTGGTTTCACCAATACTCGGAATAAGGGGAAAGTTCAAGGAACTCACTGAGGCTCTAAGAAGTAGAATAATAGATTTGGGAAAGCCTCTTTGGAACCATTTCTAACAAGATCGTCAGTTCAACTGCATCCAAGTTATTTGGATATGTCACCACTTTGCCGAGGTCTGGAAAAAGATCCAATCCATCAGCCTTAAATAAATGGAAATTGGTTAGGATGTTCAGAAGTAACCCAGGAACCACCAAAGCTCAAGTCTGGCATGATCTGGAAACTACTGGAACACCAGTGTCACTGTGAAGTGCATTTTACAAGATGGAAGGAAAGAAACCCTGCTCCAACACAGACCTTCAAACTCGACTGAAATTTGTGGCTTCCTACATGGACGAGCCAGATGCCTTCTCAAGTTTTATGGTCAGACAAGACAAAGATTGAGCTATCAGGCAACGATGACAAAAGGAATGCATGGAGGTGTAAAGGTTAGGCTTGAAAAACCTGGTTAGGCTTGAAAAACCTGAGAACACTGAGCCATCTATCAAGCATGGTGGCGGTAGCATCATGCTCTGGGTTGTTTGTTGCCAGAGGTTTTGGTACATTACACAACGTGGATAGAAACATCAATAAGGAATAACTTGAAATTCTTCAGCATCACCTCAACTCAACAGCCAAAAAGTTAAAACTTGGATACAGTTGAGTACTGTGGTTTTGGAAAGGCTAAAGCAGGCTAACCTGAACTCGAGCCTCTTGACAGTTGGCAGACTACGCTGGGTTCGTGCCAGGAAACCAGACAGTTTATATAAAATCTACTGATTCTGCCACGACGCGTGGTCAAATATCCAGCCAGAAATATACTAGAAGCTTGTTCATGGCTGCCAAAAGTGCAAAAAAGTGCAACTTGTTAAGGGACATTTAACTAGGGATGGGTATCGTTTAGGTTTTATCCGATACCAGTACCAAACCGGTACTTTTGAAACGGTGCCGGTGCTCGAACCGGTGCTCGAACCGGTGCTTAAAGAATGGAGAACACAAA